TGGTCTCAAACGCCTGGGGTCAAGTGATCCTCCTCCCTGGCTGCCCGACCTCCCAAAGGCTGGGATTACATGTGTGAGCCACAGGGCCTGACCTCTCTTTTTGAATTTGTTTTTAACTAAGAATAACAGCAGTCCCTGGGAGTGGGGGGTGGTGGTGGGAAATACTCACTTCATTAATTCTTTCAGCAAATATCTTTTCTCTAACATTCTTTTGGTGCTAGAATTATTCATAATGATGCCCAAACTGGCCACTTGCCTTATGAATGAATGAATATACTCTGCATTGCATGAAAAGGCTTGTGAATGTCTAGTTGAGTGCTTTAAAAGAGAGGTGATTATGGCCAGGTGTGCTGGCTCACGCCTGTAATCCCAGCACTTTGGGGGGTCAAGGGGGGGCAGATCACCTGAGGTCGGGAGTTTGAGACCAGCCTGGGCAACATGGAGCAACCCCATCTCTACTAGAGAAAATACAAAATTAGCTGGGCGTGGTGGCACATGCCTGTAATCCCAGCTACTTGGGAGGCTGAGGCAGGAGAATCGCTTGAACCCACGAGGCGGAGGTTGCGGTGAGCCAAGATCACACCATTGCACTCCAGTCTGGGCAACAAGAGCAAAACTCCATATCAAAAAAAAAAAAAAAAAAAAAGAGAGAGAGAGAGGCGATTATTGTATCTTGAGCTCAATAAAAAGCATAAATAATCACAAACTCCCTTACATTTTCAGGCAACAATGAAATTACCGCGATTGGTCATTAGGTGTCTGTATGGCAGGAACCTTTCCCCACAGTCCATGTTCCAGGCCTGTGCTTGAGGAAAGCTTCCTGATTCAAGGGACCAGCCTCATTGTGCCCTAATGCATACTGGTGGTGTATATTAATGCATTTTTCTGTGGCTTCTGGGTATTTATTTGGTCAGAAGGGACCCGTTCTCCCCCAGGATAGCATCTGACCCCTGCCAGCTTTTGCAGGGGTTAGAGTTAGTTTTGCACCTCCCGGGCATACATATGCAAATTGGAAACTCAACTCAGAAGCATCTGACAAGTAGTTGGTTTCTAACATTAGACACCAAAATGCTTTTTCACAAGTTATTCTCTCTTGAGGTCGGTTTCCATTCACTGGTAATCTGTGATCACGCATGCTTTCCTCCTGTGAGGCTGTTACCGCACTTTGCAACTTAAATCCTTTTTCTTTCTTAAAGACTTAGAGAAAAATTGATGAGAGGAAAGTGCTCGAAACAGCCCTGAACTCACCTCAGAGTCGGTAACTCAGAAGAGACACCAGCCAGCACCAGTCCATTACCTGTCATTTCAGTCCGAGCACTCGGCCTTTGATAGGGTCCCCAGTAAGGCAGCAGGCTCTGCAGGACAGCTAATCCGTGGCTATGTCCAACCCGCGGATACCGGTCACACCGCCAAGCTGGTGATGACAGAAACCTCAGAAACTGTATCTGAGTGCAGTTGGGTAGAATCAGCCACCCAGAATGTCCCCAAACCTCCTACCTTGAAGGTTCTAGAAGATGACAGAAAGGATAGCCCAGTTCTCCATATCTGCAAGTCAAAGGCAGCAGCAGAAGAAGGAGGAGGAGGAAGAAAAGGAGGAAGAGGAGGAGCATCAACTTTAGGTGATGCTTCACACGCCCTCCAGCTGTGTCACTTGCACATCCCTGGCAGAATGATTCACTCCTCGACCTGTGCTGTGTTCTGCATTGAATCATATTAGCTTAGCTCACAAGTGTGTGCAGGGCGACTATGCAGAAAATGGCTCAAAAACTACCACTCTGCTTCTGCCTACTAATGGGGAACTAGCGGATTGGGTCTCTGGAATGTCTCCTTCCTTACCTGCATGGTAGAGGCATGAAAAGGGGTTTGGCGGTGTCTGTGCCTTGACTCACAGAGATGCATAATCCTTTGCTGTCTTCTCTTTCTCTGTCTTCGTTTGCCTTCCTTATACTCTCTGCCCTTTGATTCTAAAAGCAAATCACAGGTGGAGAGGTCAGCCGAAGGACCTGGCTTGCCCACCAGTGTGGAACGGGAGAGAGCGTCCCAGAAACCAAGACGCTATTTTTCTCCTGGTGAAAGTAGAAAAACTCCGGAGAGATTTGCAACCCAACCTGTAACTTCAGAAGAACGAAAGGAATCAGATAGGTAGGCACGCGTATATGCGGTTTCCTGGTCCAGGAACATGGCAATGACACAGGAGTTTTACCACATTGATGGCCTTGATGCTATTTATATAGGATGTTGGCGATTCCATAATTCTTCCATCTAATCTATAAGCATTATTTATTTGGCTTATTTAAAAGTCTTTTTAAAGAATGTTAGCCTTTACAGTGCTATTATGATACATACACAATTTTACGTTGCATTCAGATAAGAAGTAAGAAACATTATTTTTCTTCATTTAATGGTTTTAATGTTTTTTACCCCTTGTTCAATTAGATTCCAGATTGCATATTCACCAGATTTTACAGTGAAAATAACTGAGGAATTTTATATTGATTTTATAAATGTCCATCTACTTGTTGTATTTGAGTTTTGTACTAAAGTGTCATATACTATTGCATAGAAATGGTAAGATTTATCTAGAAAATTGTCATCAGTGATGTTTAATAAGTGGTTCTTGTGCCTGGTCTCTCTCCACGGGGTGTGTACTTGGCTGGGATTGTGTGCACACACGCTCCAGTGTCACTTCACAACTGTATGTGTGTTTTCACAACTAGAATTGCTACCAGGTTTTTTCTTAAAAGAATTTAATTGCATTTTTATTTTTACTTTCAATATGATGTTTTATTTCCATCTTCTGCTCCCACCTGCTAATTTATTATTATTTGCTAATGTCTTTCCTAGGTGCACTTCACATTCAGAAATGCCAGCTATCGATGGCAAGTACCTGTTTCCCTGTTTTTCATTTGTCTTTATTATCTCATCTAGACTGGATTTAATAATAAGGTTTTTGGCTTTTTGAGAGAATAAGATGATGGAGCATCTTGTCTCCCTTTGCTGCAGGTTTTCATTCTGTGAATATAATAAAATCTAGTTGAAATTTTCAGATGAGCTTTCCCTTCTTTCTGAGCGCAGTTAGAGAATCATACAGTGACCAGTATAAAAACAACTAATTCAAACCAAAGGAGCAGGTTCTTCTTGTTGTGCTGCTGCTACTATTTAAAACTATAAGAAAATGCCTCCATAAAATATATTCATGAAATCTCGATCAGACAAATGTTAGAGTAGAAATCTCTGGACAGAGTTTGCTTTGGTTTGGCTGGGTTGAATTGCAAGGGAAATTAGTACCTTTTCACTGAGCAGAAAGAACGGGCTCCCTGCAAGGGGAAACTACCACCAATTATTATTTTAGTGCACCTATTCTTGTACTCAAAAGATTTCCAGGTCAGCCCTGAAAGACTTTTTGGAGACCAAACTTACCTTTTCTAATGATGTCCAGTTTTTAATTTGTGACTTTTTACAGATGAAGAAAAGGTGGATGAATGAGCCAAGCTGAGCATAGCCCCCTAGAGGTTGCTTTTCAGGGTAAGCTGTACTAACATGCTTGAATAGAGATCATGACCCCTGGTGCAGTAATCCCAGCTACTTGGGAGGCCAAGGCAGGAGGATTGCTTGAGGCCAGGAGTTTAAGACCAGCCCGGGTAACATAGTGAGACCACATCTCAAAAAAAAAAAAAATCATAAGCCTTAGCTGGGGAGACTCTCATGGCCCCAGCCTACTTAATGCACCTCTGGGCATGCTAAGGCCCTCCCAGCTCTGGCCCACCTGTTGTTCTCTTCCTAGTCTTTGGCTGGTTGTGGCCACCTCATGCACACAGCATGAGTGTACGCTTCTGACAATGATACGAGGCTCTCATTAGTGGCCCCTCCTGTAGGTCCTGTTGGAGAACAGAGCGGAGACTTTTTACTGCCCCCATTTCCTTTCCTTGAATTTATATTCTTTATTTTTTTAGTGACAGGTCTTGCTCTGTTGCCCAGGCTAGAGTGCAAAGGCACAATCATGGTTCACTGCAGTCCCAACCTCCCCTGCTTAAGTGATCCTCCCGCCTCAGCCTCCTGAGGAGCTGGGACTACAGTCTACACCACTATGCCCAGCTAATTTATGCATTTGTTTTTAGAGATGGGGTTTTACCATGTTGTCCAGGTTGGTCTCAAACTCCTGGGCTGAGGCAATCCTCCTGCCTCAGCCTCCCAAAGTGCTCAGACCACAGGTGTGAGCCACTGTACAGGGCTAGTTTTTTGTTTTTTGTTTTTTTAATTGTTTATGTGCTTGCATTGGACACATAGATATCCTTCCTGAAAAAAAAAGTTCATCCCATTAGGTTACTGACATCCCAAAAGGCCTCCATGTCAGTGCCCCGTTCTATGGACCTGCTGTTAGATCAACTGCCTGCACTTCCTCCTCCAGTTGCTCCTCAGTTTCTTGGTGCATTTGTAGCTAAGTATATCCTTGCACTCTCTAGGAACTCTTTGCAAATCAGTTTTTTTTAAGTAAATATTTGAATGAGTGGTGTAAAATAAGAAGTAGCTGCCCATGGGAGCAAAGCAGTAAATACGTTTTTAAAAATCTCCTTTTTAGGCTCAATAAATCTACTTTGATGTGTCTGTAGATTTTGTAAAGACACTGATACTTTAAAAAATTAGATTGAAAACCATATTCTAAACTACAGGCATAATCTACGGATTTGCATAAAACAATACAGTGTAAGTTATAATAAGGGTTTTGGTTTGTGAGTATAGCACATTTGAATGTTAAAGTATTGTTTTGGAGAATTAGAATCATTCAGGAGTAAATGTTTAAAGCTGACTTCCTGTGTCTCGCACACAGGAGAGAAACCAATTGCCACGAAGCATTTTGCCGTGTGGGTAACCCTCTGGAAAGTGTAGCGTGCTGCAGATTTGCATAAATCCCAGCGGATTGGGTCACCCGCCGTGTGCCCACGGCTTGAACTCCCAGAGCTGCGCTGCTGGGGGCGAATCGCTGGAAGAACGTTCGCCTGAGGAGTTCAGTGCTGATGCTGCTCTTTTCCTTCCCAGCGGCAGAGTTCGGGGAGCCCACTTCCCAGCAGACGGGGACAGCTGCTGGGAAAACTGTTACTCAAACCGCAGCCCCGGTGTCCTGGAAGCCCCAGGATTCTTCGGAACAGCCACAGGAGAAGCTCTGCAAGAATCCATGTGCGATGTTTGCTGCTGGAGAGATCAAAACGCCGACAGGGGAGGGTCTTCTTGACTCACCCAGCAAAGCCATGTCTATTAAAGAAAGGTAATGAGATTCGGTGAGCGAAAAGTAATTCTCTCGGGGAGGAGCTTACAGCTTGCTTTAGAAAACGATCTCGGTGATGGGCAAAGAGATGAAATCACACATTCAGCTTCTCACAGGGCTGTGCTGTTGTCCTGGAGTAATTCTAGGAAGCTGAGGTGTTTGAGAGTGAACTGCCTTTGCTCGTGAGCCTGGTTCGGTAATGACAACAGGGCCGGTTCCAGACGCAGATGAGAAAACAAACAAACAGATTTCTGCTTTATTTATTTGCTTCCACTGTCCCAATGTCTTTTATAATATTAAATTCTTGGACTATCTAGTAACAGGAGCTGAGATCTTGGCTCTTCCACTTTTAAATACACAGGATTCATATCGAATGCACAAACCACTTGTGGCTTTGTGTGAAGTATGTGTAGAGGGAGTGAAGATAAATGTACATACAGGACATACATCTTTGGTCTTAGAATCCAAGTTTTGTTTCCTTTACAGATTGTAAAATGGATGACTTTTCTGAACTGCATTTAGAAATTGTATGTCAGGTAATAGCTTGAAAGATTGCATTTCAGCATCAAATAACACAGTAGCCTAATTTCTTTCAAAATAATGATGTAGGGTGCAGAGGAATATATTTAAATGAGACAGATACAAAGAATTGGAAGTAAATTACCTTGGGAGTGTGTTTTCCTTGTGAACTTTTAACCACAGTTGAATTAAGCACCAAAAGATACAATAGTGGAAATAAATTCAGGGTTTGATAGCAGAATAGGGTGACTAAATAAAAATGTACTGTACTCAGGTGATGGACACAGCCTGAATACCCTGACTGGGTCTCTACACATTACATACGTGTAACAAAATTTCTCATGTACCACATCAATTTGTACAAAAAGGAAAAAGTCTTTAGTAGGAAAAAAACATGATGGAATAGTGACAGGAAAACGGGGTGAAGAAAAGTCATGTCAACTCCATATTAGGAGAACCATTTCCAACACCTTTACCCACAGTTCTGCCAGCCTCGACCCTTCCTTACACCTGCCACCACACAGAAGTCTGCATGCTTTGTTAGGCACTGACCATGGTTATTTTTCTAGATACATTTCAAACTGCCTGAGACTATACCAAACCACAAAGAAAAGACTTTTCTTTTCTTTCTTTCTTTTTTTTTTTTTTCAGAGACAGGGTCTCCCTCTGTCCCTCTGTTGCCCAGGCTGGTGTGTAGTGGTATAATCACAGCTCACTGCAGCCTCGAACTCCTGGGCTCAAGTGATCCTCCTGCCTCAGCCTCCACAGTAGCTGGGACAATAGGTGTGCACCATCATGCCTGGCTAATTAACAACAACAACAACAACAAAAACTCTTTCTGGAGATGGGAGTCTCACTATGTTGCCAAGGCTGTTCTCGAATTTCTGGCCTCAAGCAAGCCTCTCACCTCCGCCTTCCAAAGTATAGAGATTACAGATGTGCACCACCATGCCTGGCCCTTCTTTCTAGTTTTAAGCCAAGCTTCTTGAACATTATTTATAAAATAATAGATGCCATCTTTTTCAACTGACAAGTTAATAAGATTGTTAAATCTGATTGACTTCCTCCTTTACTTACCTAAGATTCATGAAAAGTTAGACCTGGCAGGCTGAGGGAAGGGGCAGAGGGGTCAGTGCAGTGAGGAAAAGGATGTCTTCAACTGGGGAAGCAGTTGGGCCTATTGAGGCTTGAAGTTCTCTTCCACGAAAACGGGGCTCAAAGAGAGTTTCATCCCAGAAACCCAAGTGTTGATAACTGGTTTGGTGAGGAAGAAGAGAGATCATTTAGGGAAATTAAAAATAAATATCACTCATACACAAGTTCTGATGCTTTACACATGAGAAAATATCTCTGGGGTATTCCCCAGTGGAAAATACTAATATTATGCCCCTTTCTTTCAAAGGCTTTTAAAGGAGCCTTCCCATCTTTGGGAATATTCTGTCCATCAGGACTTAGGACTTTTGATGAAGAAGTCCTGTGTCTACCCACTAAGCAATAATTCCTGATTTACTTGCCTGTTTTTTGGTAAATTTTAGTTGATCCGTGTTTTTCTGAAAGTTTTAATCTTACTGTAAAATTCTCATTTTTAAAACTGAGATACTGGAAAGATGCAGCTTCTTAGTTTGGGCTTTGTGGACATCTAGGGCGTTCAAGGATGGCTGTAAAGTTTCTGTGAATGGCCCGGAAGTGCATTCAGAATTGAATGCGTGGGCACGCACACCTGCCGGCTAACAGAAGCCATAACTTATCCTGGTCTCCAAGAGATCCCTGAGCCCAGTCTGTTCAGAATCATGATAGAAAGGAACGCTTGATTGATATTCAGCTATTCAGTTTGTTAAAATATGTTTAAGAAAGGACAAGGGACACTTTTTTTAGCAGCTATATTTGTAATAAATTACACTAATGCAAAATATATTGCCAGTGATCTTTTCCCACTTACCTTGACAGTGCTTTTATTTGTACTTTGCTGGAAATAACTAAACTACATATTTTATTTATATTTATTTATTTATTTATTTTTTGAGATGGAGTTTCTCTCTTGTTGCCCAGGCTGGAATGCAATGGCACAACCTCGGCTCACTGCAACCCCCGCCTCTTGGGTTCAAGTGATTCTCCTGCCTCAGCCTCCCAAGTAGCTGGGATTACAGGCATGTGCCACCATACCCAGCTAATTTTTGTATTTTTAGTAGAGATGGGGTTTCACCATGTTGGCCAGTCTGGTCTGGAACTCCTGACCTCAGGTAACCACCCACCTCGGCCTCCCAAAGTGCTGTGATTATAGGCGTGAGCCACCACACCCAGCCTAAACCACATATTTTTACAATTTATCTATGATAGCTTTTTCCTAAATGAGACTTTAATCTCTCCCTTTTGTGAAAATGAAATAATGAAGCTTAAACTATTTAAAATAAGAATGTTATTCCTACATTTATTTGGGCTTTACTTTTCTTTCTTGAGGAAGAAGTATATAAAATCATAGGACTTTCAGACTTTATTCTACATACCTCTGACTGCCTCATTTTACCAAAGGAGGGATTTAGCTCCGGTAGCCTCCAGGGCCATGTAGTGAATAGAACTGACCTAGGAGCCATGTCTCCAACTCTCCCCTGGTCCACGGCAAAACTGCAGTGTGCTCAGATTAATGTTAGAGCAGCCAACCCTGTGAACTCTATCCAGGAGAACACGGTAAGAGGACAGAAATTCCAGCTAGACAGCAGTGTTAGAAAGACACACCCTCTTTCTTCATGAATTCTCTCAGTGCACATGCTCTTAACATCGCTTATTTCAAATTACACATCCACATTCACATTTCAGAGTCTAAGAAATAGAGCTTGGAATTTACAGATTTCCTTTATCATTTTTTATCAATGGCTGTGCCCACTAAAGAGGGCAGGTCTGTCTGCTTCAGCCTTGTTGTGTCAGTCTCTCCCCCGTCCGGGGCCTGACGATATTGAGTGCTCCGTGCTCAGTGCTACCCAGCATCACAGACTGCCTTCTGCATTTTGCACATGATACCTCCTCTGATGTTGAAAAGAGCCTTCAGAAGAAAGCAATATTATCCCCACTTGTAGACAAAAAGTGGAGAAATTAAGAAATTAAAGGAAACCCTCCACACCCTCCTTTTTTAGAAAATGTTTGCTGCTCAAGGAAATCTACCAAAAAGTTATTTTGCGGTTTTCATCTTTTCTGACATTGTGAATGTCAAATCTGAACCATAACCAGCGTAAAACATAGGATGCACTCGACTTTTCTCACTGGATTAGTAAAATTGTTGTTTTATAACTGTCTAAATTATTTGTGTTTAAATGATTCTTGTTTGGGAACTTCTTTGAGAAACATTGTGAATTAAATAATTCTTAAGTTATTTAGGGATAAAACTTTTGCTATTGCTTAAAGAGTATGTTAGGCCTTTAGAAATCTGATCTGCACCATGTCAGAAACAGTGGCATCTGGGCTTTCTTATTTGGCGAAGAAAAATATTGGAAAATAATAAAAGAGCCTTTATTTCACTTCGGGAAATTGGCGGCGTGTAAGGACTTAGTGGAACTCCCTGAACTGTCGCAGAATCCACCTCACGCCTCTGTGGAGTTCTGCTCCAGAGGGGCCGGCTGGAGGCTCCTGTGTTTCCTGCCTGCCGGTCCCTGCCCCAACCATCCACCCTTCCCCATCCCATCCAGCCAGAGGCTGTCTCCCTGTCTGCAAACTCCCGGTTCTTACCTTGTAGCTGGGAGATTTCAGCCACTACAGGGCCCCAGATTTATGTAGGAATAAAAATAGAGATGCAGTTCCCCTTTGCTCTCTTTCTTTTCTTTTTTCTCTTCTTTTTCTAGGCAGAGTCTTGTTCTATTACCCAGACTGGAGTGCAGTGGTGTGATCATAGCTCACTGCAGCCTCAGTCTCCTGGGACTCAAATGGTCCTCCTGCTTCAGCCTCCCACGTAGCTGGGACTACAGGCACGCACCACCACACTCAGCTGATTTCTTATTTTCATTTTTTTGTAAAGACAGGGTTTTGCTCTGTGGCCCAGGCTGGTCTCCACCTCCTGGCCTCAAGCTATCCTCCCACCTCAGCCTCCCAAGGTGCTGGGATTACAGGTGTGAGCCACCATGCCGGCCCTCCTTTTCTGATGTTTGATTTGTCTCCCACTTAAAAGACACTTTAGTTCTTTCGCGTCTCCAACTTGTGAACCAGCCAATACCAAGATCTAATATAAGTATTTATGTATGCTGTTCAGCCTTATCTGAGATCTATGGGGTGCCTATAATTCTCTAAAATGAAAGGAGAATTCTAAAAAAGAGAGAGAGAAAACACATCTTATTTAATATTAGGGGCATGTGGTTGTCGTGTCTCCTGTTTGACCCAGCCCTGACTGCTCTGAGTCTGAAGTCCTTGTTCTCGCCAAGCAGGGCTCTCAGGCCAGCATTCCCTGCTGGAATAGTGTGAGGTATGGAAGAAGAGGCACCATTTCCCTGGGTGGCCTGGCAGGCACCTATCATGGTGGCCCTGGACCAGGCGTCAGGTAAGCGGGCCAGTGTCGTGCCACTCCCTGGATTTACACAGCCCCAGGCCAAGCCACTGCCCAGGCTCCCGGCATCACAGTCCTGCAAACAGCACTTCGGCTTGGCAGTTGTTAGAAGCGCTGACAGTTGTTTGAATTGCACCAGCAGGAATTTATGTCCTGTGTAGACCCAGACGTCGGCTCCTCGACCCTCTCAGAGCCTGGAAGTCTGCGGTGAGCCGGAGGGCTGTGAGCTCACAGGAGGAAGGAACACATTTGGGAAGATCTCCCTCCCTCCTCAGCATGATGGACACCAGTGAGGAAATCTAAAGGGACAGGAAGAACCCACTCAAGTTTTAGTGCGTGTTATTTACGAGTTATTCATCATGTGCTCCATAGGCTGGAGGCGAGGGCTGGCTCCAAGTGCCATGTGGGCTCCATGGAAGCACAGTTTCTTCCAGGTTATTCTGGTTACTCTGTAGTCTTCGGAGTCCCTAATGGTAACTCTGCCGGCACATGTAGAAGCAAAACTTTAGGGTTTTGTAATGGAGAAATTCTTTGGAGACCTTCCCATGGTGGGAAAAACCTTATAAGAAACCTTATAAGAAAGGAAAAACCTTATAAGAATCCTATGCCATTCCTAAAACGGTGTGACAAAAATGTGTCTGGTCAGCTAATGTTCTACCGCAGTGAAGCAAGCACAGGCAGGCAAGGGTTGCAGTCACGTCTCTCTGCCCACTAACATCCAGTGTGACTTCAGCCAATGGAATTCTTGACCCGGATGTTCCCATGTTCCTTGTCGGTGGGAATGGGCATAACAGTTCCCCGTGTCTCAGGTCGCCGTGCCGATCGCAGAGTATAAGGTGGATGAGGCAGTGATCTCAGATGCCACAGCTTGTGTTTTTCCAAGTCAGTTTTAGATGCCACAAAGCAACCACCAGGGAAACCGTCTGATGACACAGGTGCTGGTGTCCTTGCCCCAGACTTTTGAGAGCTTCTTTTTCAGAAGGTCTTCAAAGACCGGAGCTCATGACTTCTAATAAACTCAGGAAGATGAATTTGATTGTTTTTAAATTCATCTTTTGGATCCAACCTGATTAACAAGGTGGATGGTCAAGAGGAGTAGCTGCTGGCCTGGGTCGAAGGTGAAGTGAGAGAAGCTGGTTCTGGGGCCAGTTGCAAGGAGAATATCAGTGAGATGAGTGCCTGGCTCCACGAGATGATGAACTGGAAGGACTTCTTCCTTCTCATTTGGGTATTAAAGTGCTGGCATGCTTACTTTTTGAAAGTCTCGTTTATTGATGCTTTGAAAGCTCAAGTACAGCATGCAAATACCAATTTCTTTTAATGATTTCATTTTGTGAGATTATTTTATTAGAATAAAACTGACTCATTAAAAATAATTGGAGAAAAGATGAATCATAGTCATTGTATAGTATGGAATGATGCAGATTAAAACTCTTGAAGGAATTTGGACTTTGTGTCCACGCCCACGAACTAGCTCTTGTAGGGTGCAGGGTGTTGTTCAACATTTGAGAATTACAGGAGTTAGGACTAAATGAGACCTTGACCAAAGGGATCTGCATGAGATTGACAAGGCAGCCTTACCACAGTTCTAGAGAACGGGCATGTGAGATCGTATCTGCTGCCACTTAGAAGAAAGAGGAAAACAGAAAGGAAGGGAGGAGAAGGAAGAGATTGAGGAAGGGGGCAGGTCCAGAGTTCAAAGCTCCTGCCTCCTTTGGGGAATTCCTTTCTTCACGGCTTACTTCCCATTATTTGACTGAGTGAATAGACAAGTATAGATGTAATTGTGTACACATATGTAGACATCACTGGATTCTTAAATACAAAAAATTTGTTTTCTTTTTAACTTAACAAAACATTTATCATAGGATATATCTCATCCCATCTCCAAAACAAATATTTAATGGGAATCGGGAAGCTCGGAAGAAAGACCCTTAGAGATCATCTGGTCCAGTTCCTGATGTGGCAGATACGGGAGGGAGAGCCGAGGTACTCAAAGGGAGTTAGTGGCCAAATTGGGACCAGAGCTGATGTGCTGCTTTAAAATACACTGTTGTCTAGACGTGGTGTCTCACACCTGTAATCTCAGCAGTTTGGAAGGCTGAGGCAGGGGGATCGCTTGAGGCCAGGAGTTGCCTAGGCAACAGAGCAAGACCCTGTCTCTACCAAATGGAAGTTTTAAAAATTAACCAGGCATAGTGATGCACAGCTGTCATCTTAGCCACTATGGAGGCCGAGATGGGAGAGTCACGTGAGCCCAGGAATTTGAGGCTGTACTGAGCCATGATTATGCTGCTGCACTCCAGCCTTGGTGACAAAGTAAGACCCCATCTCTAAAATAAATTTATAAAAATAAAAAATACAACATTTATGGATTATGCATTAGTGATATTGAGAAGACCTCGCCCATCAGGTCCAGCACAGAGGGGAAGGGATCTAGTTATTTGGTTTTTTCCCTACTCTTTAAATTGTTTGAACAGCAGCTCAAATGAGTTTAATGATCATCATCTTTTTTTTACCTTTTATCTTTCCCATGTTTGTTTGTCCAATGCAAGTGCCTAAGATTTCTTCATTCATGGCAATACAGTTAGCTGAAACAGCCTCATGTTTGTGAAAAATAACCTCTCAAGATTCCAATATTCAAGCAAATTCCTAGCCATGCCATTGTTGAACTAAAGCGAGTTAGGTAACAACCTCAGTTAATTAGATTCTTTTTTTGTATATGCCTTTCCTGTGAGGAAAGTTGAAGTGATAATTTTTTAAAAATTGGTTGGTAGAAAATAGTTTCTGTTTAAAGAAGACGGATTAGAAAGACCAAATTCGTTTGTAGGAAAAGAATAGGGCTTAGAATACCTAAGGAGAAGCAGTCATAAACATCAAATTTTACCTCTAATTGAAAGGGATGATATTAAGAGACTGTAAGTGCCTCATAGCTTTAGGTTTTTAAGCCCACATCTGCATTATTTTCTGCAAGTAGGAACTACGATACAGCTTTAGTCCTTTCATGTTATTTCACCAAGTGAACAGAAGGCGTCACTAGAAGACATTTATTCTCTGAGGACGGTTCTCTTGATCTCAGCCCAAGGGCAAGGGAAAACGTTCCTTGGCTGGGATGACGGTGCATCTTTTATCTAGCAAGTCACATTTCGGCTCTGTGTTTCAATCAACTGTGAAGTCTTCGGGGCCATCTTAGAAAAGGGACTTTATTATTTTTCCAGACATGCTATTTTCAGAATAAATGAAATTCAAAATGTTAAAATGAGGTGACTGTGGTCGTGTCTTGGCCAAAGCATTCTCACTTATCTAGATTATGGTTCCATCACAAGGAAGAGTTTGGTGCTGAACTCTTTGTGGCTGGCATGTTCTCCTCCTAGATTGGCACTGTTGAAGAAAAGTGGAGAGGAAGATTGGAGAAACAGACTCAGCAGGAGGCAGGAGGGCGGCAAGGCTCCGGCCAGCAGCCTGCACACCCAGGAAGCAGGGCGGTCCCTCATCAAGAAGGTAACGTTCCTCGTGTTAGGAAAAGCCTTCAGACTAACACCACTCTTGGAAGTGCATCAAAGAGACAAGCATGTGCCACCTAATTCCTTCTCTGTGAAGCATTTGTGCGTTTTTGCCCTTAGGGTACACGCTGAGAGTCTGTCACAGAGCAGCTAAAATTGGGTGGAAGGCTGTGCCTGGAGATGTTTTAGAACTGGGATCAGCAACACACGCACACTCAGAAACAAGTGACTGAATTTTAAAGTGTGTACTTTTTCTTCAGTTTAAAAACCTTCTTAAATGATGTCTGGCTTTAGAGTGTTATTAAAGCCTTTATAATGATAAAAAATTGAACATCTTTAAGTTGCATATAAAATATGGACTTGATTTTCCTATGTAGATATTTTAAACCTAAGTATAAAAAGTAAGGACTTAATTGTGGTTTATGAGTATTTAGTTCATCATTTAAGCGTGTTTCATGAGTAGCTATGCCTTTTATTGAGAATATACAGTAATGTATTGTACAAGTTGAAACAAAATTAGGTAATGCATGGTGATCAATACCAGCAAGCATTTCATATGCGAAAGTATTGATGAATTGTTAAATTACACATGTGATGATGACCAACTTTTGACCAGGTAGTGCACACTTTCAAAACTGATGGTGACTGACTTGCTGGCTGGCCCTACAATTGCAAATGCACCTTCTGGCTGGAGGCGAAATGATGCACCGGTGGCGCACTCCCTGCTCACTTTCTAGGATCAGAAGTCTTCAAGTAGAAAAGAAAAAGAATGCTTTCAACCAGCTGATCCCTAGGCCCCTTCTAGCTCTAAAATGAGTTAAGTATCTGTGGAAGCGAGAGATGATGAGTGTGACTTTCATGCATTAAGAAACTTACATAAAAATGAGATGTGCCCATAGAAGGGTGAGTCAGGAGCTCTGACACTATTTCATCCGATACTTCTGTGTCTTCTTAGGTTACACTGGAATGGCAATTTGAATTCTCTTCTTTGAGACATATGTGGTGCTAAAGATAATATAACTAAAGAATTTAACCCTCGGCCATTTATAAAGTTCTCAAATATAACTAGATGTTTAGAAAGTATACCAACATGCACATATTTTTCATACACCATGTCAAATTCAGGTTTCAAAAATGAGATCCTGAAGTGAAAGAAAATTCATCTGTCAAATATTGTATCCCCGCTACCCACAAACTTTATTTAAAAGAATCTTGAAATCATTGCTCCAAAAACAACTTTAACACATTCCTCATTAGCAAACCTGCCAACTACTATGTCCTGGCACCAAGCAGCGCCTGGCCCCTTGTCCATCATTTTGGAAGGTGCAGAGACTCCCCGGCCCATCAGGAACTGGGAGTCCCAGAGAGCCGGTGGAAATTTAAATGAAGCCAAAAAGCACAAAGCAGGAGAGGTTCCCGGTGAATAGTGAAATAGGTGTGTTACCCCCGTAGAAGAACGTAGAGAGGATCAGCTTAGGTGTGGAAGCCAGAAGGCTTTGAGTGGAGGATGAGATCCGAACCGCCTGAAGGCTGGCTAAGGATTTTTAGAAGGCAAGAGAGGCCAGTTGACTGCAGTTGCCCTTGGGGTAGAAAACCCAGTGACCTGAAGCCCCGGGGCTTCCAAGCAGGATGGGGCTGGAATGGGAAATGCCGCCTCTGGGCGCGTGGAGGCTGCTGTTCCTGCAGCAGCAGTGAACTCTCCCACTCTTCCTCAGTGGCCTGCTTCCCTTTGGCTGCAGGCAATAAGCTCTTTGAAGTTAAAATAAGCCAATCTGTCTTAGGCCCTTGTAGCCCACATTGGGCAATCTCAGGTTCTGTTGAGGTCAGGTGTTTCTCATTCCTTCCCGACGGCTGGCACTGTTTTCAGTCACCCCCTGGCTGTGCTCAAATGCGGTGGGTGAGGCGCCTTAAACCTGGTCTGTCTTAAGGGAGTCCCCCAATAGCTGAAGAGGCTTGACATGCCCAGTGCTTGTGGGGTGTCTGAATGCTGCCTTAGAGAAGGACAGACAGTCATGACACGTGGGGCCTGAACAGGGGCACTTGCTGCACGGAGTAGCTCTAGCCTTGCTGATGAAGAGGTACCCAGGAGAGCAGGTGCCGGAACCTTCCATCTTTAGCACCAAGGGCAGAAAGGAGCCGGTGTTACAGTCACGCCCTTCATCACGCCCTTCACAGTTTCTGCGTTCCTTTTGTGTGCTGAGAGCCTGCTGCCGTGAGTGTGCAGTCTGTGGAAATGTAGAAGAGGCAGGAAAGAGACGGGACTCTAGAAGTTCCATCCATTATTCCTATGAAAATACATGCAGCATGGAAGTCAGCAATGTCCTATAAAAATATATAATGTGTGCCACGTAGGTGGTTTTGAAATTTTCCAGAGTCACATTTAAAAATATACTAAAGGATGCCATGAAAAATCTATAACTGTTTTGTCTCTGTCAATGGATTGGTCCAAAAAGAAAACATATTTGAGGTGCTCTAGCCAGCATCTCATTTTTGGTCTTTTTTTTTTTTTTGAGGTGGAGTCTCGCTCTGTCTCCCAGGCTGGAGTGCAGTGGTGCAGCCTCGGCTCACTGCAACATCCACCTCCCTGATTCAAGCAATTCGCCTGTCTCAGCCTCCTGAGTACCTGGGACTACAGGGGCCTGCCACCATGCTCGGCTAATTTTTTATTTTTATTTTTAGTAGGGACAGGGTTTCACCACGTTGACCAGAATGGTCTCAATCTCCTGACCTCATGATCCACCCGCCTTGGCCTCCCAAAGTGCTGAGATTACAGGCGTGAGCCACTGTGCCCGGCCCATTTTGGGTCTTTTATGTTAAGGTTTATATTGGGGCTGGGTGCAGTGGCTCACGCTGTAATTCCATTACTGTGGGAAGCCAAGGTGGAAGGACTGCTTGAGCCCAGGAGTTTGAGACTAGCCTGGGCAACATGGTGAAACCTGGTCTGTACCAAAAAATGTAAAAAGTTTCCAGGTGTGGTGGTGCACACCTGTCATCCCAGCTACTTGGGAGGCTGAAGTGGGAGGATTGCTTGAGTCTGGGAGGTTGAGGGTGCAGTGAGCCATGATCACACCAGTGCACTCCAGCCTGGGCAACAAAGCGAGAAGAAAAGAAAGGAAGGGAGAGGAGGGGAGGGAAGGGAAACTCATTTCACCAGAGAGAGAAAAACGAAATGAAGCAAAGTCTCAAAGAAGTGGTTTGGCAGGAGTCTCTGTTACAACTAACTTTGGGTTATGTATTTATTTTCACCAAATAGTTATTTTCAATTCCAACCCCATTTCAGCTTATTCGGCATTTAGACATACACGGTGACCCCCCATCTTTTGTGAAGATAGTCATCCAGCAAATCAGACCTTTTCCAAGAAGCAAAAACCCTTCATAGACTTGGCCATTAAAACCCTGTGTCTGTTTCTGAGTTCCAGATGGGAACTGGATATCCTACTGTGCTTCAGTAGCTGTGAGGTCAGTGCACCCAGCTCAGATCTATGACAGCCCCAGAACAAGTGCCTGAAATTTCAAGAAAACTGAATCTGGCACATTTATATTCTCTATGTCTGCTGCCATTGAAATTCCAGATCGCAATTCAGGAGAATTTAAAAGTCACTTTAAAGTGCGAGGATGGGAGGGAGAGAAAGGCTGGTGGAATGCCCTCTAAACTCCAGATGCTCATTCTGCGGTCAGGGAATGAGTTGGCCTGAGGTTCACATCACTGCATTGTGTGAGCACGTGCATACTACTGTTTGAACCCAGGCATGAAGTACTTGAAGGCGATTGCGACGCCCTGATGAGGCTCTTCTCTTCCAATACTCTGCAATGTTCCTTGTTTGTTTTAACCTGTAGGAAGAAGGAGGAGTTGCGGATGATATTGCCATTTCTAATCTGCTCTGGGTAAGCCTGACTGTAACACAGGTGTCCTCTAGATGGTGGCCAGTATTACACTTCACGTGGGTGTACACTTCTGATCCTGGGTGGTTCCTTTGTGCACCCTCCCTGGTGCTTTTCTTATCTCCAGACCAGATGCAGCCTTTGCCCGGAGTGGAGAGCTAAGCCCATGCCCTTAAACTATTTTTTAAATCATGTAATGAAAATACTTTTAAGAAGATGATATTTTCTGTTAAATGTTAAAACTGTCAGTGAAAGTGATGGTTCCTCTCTCTGTAACTAACAATCTTCTATAAATTAACTCATTTAATTACTGCACAAAGCTGACTCAGGTATATTTACCGCGCTTGTGTGGATTTATTTTAGCATCAGCATTCAAGCAAGGACTCTCTTGAAAAGAGAACTGAAATTGTAATGAGTAAATTAACATTCTGTTAGAAAAAATCATTGTTTTGTCTCTCCCTCCCCCATGTCCCTGCCTGGCCCCGCTCTGATAAATCTCTTTTCACCTTAAATCCTCTTGCTTTGCTCTGTAGAAACCTGTATATGCTTCCACTTATTCTCCTGCTATTCCTGCTGCCCACAAATACCTGTCTTTTGTGTTGATTAATTGGGTGAGGAAAAGCCACTCATGTTAAGCCTCACTGCAAGTTCTGAGCAGCAGGGGAAGAACTTCTGTTTAATTTGGGGAATAATTTCTTTGCTACATTTCACTGTGAAAGAGGGGGATGTATGTGTTTCAGTACTATTGTGTGTGTGTCCATGAGAGTGTGCGTGCATCTATAAGAGAATGTGTGTGTGTGTATCATTGACAGTGTGTGTTTATGAGAGTGTGTCTGTATGAGTGTGTGTGTCTATGAAAGTGTGTGTGTATCTATGAGTGTGTTTCTGAGTGTGTATCTGTGAGAGAGTGTGTCTGTGTCTGTGAGAGTGTGTGTGTGTCCATGAGATTGTGTGTGTATCTATGAATATGTGTGCTGAGTGTGTATCTATGAGAGTGTGTGTATGAGTGTGTGTATGTCTATGAGAGTGTGTGTGTCTGTGTCTGTAAGTGTGTGCACAGGTGTGTGTTTAATTGGTTCTTCATGTATTTAGGGTCAGTCACACACACACTGATCCTTGGCTCAGATTTTCAGGTGGACTTGATGGCATTAATTCCCCTCATAGTCGTGAAACTGGTTTAAGGGGAGAGTGTCCCCTTTCAGCCTCCACGCTTGGATCCTGAGTCAGGAGCCCAGGAGAGGTGGCCGTGTTCTTCGCTCCGGCTCAGTAGGGATGTTGTCCTGCTCAGTTCCTAGAGGAGGAGGATATGGTGGAGGTGGTTTGGGGTGTGGAGGGACAGGGAGGAAGACTCAGCCCCGTCACTTCCCTCTAGGGCCTCTGTCCCCTCCCTCTCAGGGATTCTGTCCCCTCCTTCGTAGGGCCTCTGTCCCTTCCCTCTCAGGGATTCTGTCCCCTCTCTCACAGTGTCTCTGTCCTCTTGCTGTATAAACAATCGGCAATTATAAACAAAGTAATATAAACATCCACGTGCAGGCTTTTGTTTGGACATAAGTTTTCAACTCATTTGAGTATCAAGGAGCATGATTGCTTTATCACATGGTAAGAGTATGTGAGTTCTGTGAGAAACCTCCAAACTGTCTTCCAAAGCGGCTGCACCATTTTGCATTTCCATCAGCAATGAATGAGAGTTCCTGTTGCTTCATATCCTTGCCAGCATTTAGTGTTGTCAGTGCTTGGGTTTTTGCCATCCTAATTGATGTGTAATAGTATCACGTTGTTTTAATTTGCAAATCCCTAATAATGGGATTTGCAAATTAGATATTCAGCATATTTCCATATGCTTATTTTCTATCTATATATCTTCTTTGGTGAGGTATCTGGTTGTTTCCCATGGTTGAGTTTTTTTTTTTTTTTTTTTTTTTTTTGAGACGGAGTCTGGCTCTGCCGCCCAGGCTGGAGTGCAGAGGCCAGATCTCAGCTCACTGCAAGCTCCACCTCCCGGGTTCACGCCATTCTCCTGCCTCAGCTTCCCGAGTAGCTGGGACTACAGGCACCCGCCACCTCGCCTGGCAATTTTTTTGTATTTTTTAGTAGAGACAGGGTTTCGCCGTGTTAGCCAGGATGGTCTCGATCTCCAGTGATCCGCCCGTCTCGGCCTCCCAAAGTGCTGGGATTACAGGCTTGAGCCACCGCCCCCGGCCCCATGGTTGAGTTTTAAGAGTTACTTGCATATTTTGGGTAACAGTCCTTTGTCAGACATGTCTTTTGCAAATATTTTCTCCCATTCGTAGTTTGTCTTCTCATTCTTTTAACAGTGTCTTTTACAGAAGTTTTTAATTTCAGTGAAGTCCAGCTTGTTAGTTATTTCTTTCTAAGATATTGCCTTTGGTGTTACATCTAAAAACTAATCATCAAACCCAAAATAATATAAATATTCTCCTATGTTATCTTCTAGGAGTGTTACAGTTTTGAATTTTACAGTTAGGTCTTTGTGATCCAGTTTGAGTTAATTTTTGTGAATGGTGGAAGATTTGTATCTAGATTTTTTTTTTCACATGTGGATGTCTAGTTATTCCAGCACTCATTTGTTGAAAATAGTATCTTTTCTTCATTCTATTGCTTTTGCTCCTCGTCAAAGATCAGTCGACTATATTACATGAATCGATTATTGAGCACTCTATTTCATTGATCTATTTGTCTATCCTTTTACTAGTACCACACAGTCTTGATTACTGAGGCTTTATAGTAAGTCTTGAAGTTGACTGGTGTTGGTCCTCCAACTGTTTTTTTTTTTTTTTTTTTTTTTTGATGTGGAGTCTCGCACTGTGTCCCAGGCTGGAGTGCCGTGGCGCGATCTCGGCTCACCTCAGGCTCCGCCTCCCGGGTTCACGCCATTCTCCTGCCTCAGCCTCCCAAGTAGCTGGGATTACAGGCTCCTGCCACCACGCCCGGCTAATTTTTTGTATTTTTAATAGAGACGGGGTTTCACCGTGTTAGCCACGATGGTCTCGATCTGCCGACCTCATGACCCACCCGCCTCGGCCTCCCAAAGTACTGAGATTACAGGCGTGAGTCACCGCGCCCGGCCCCTCCAACTTTTTTCTTCCCCTTCAGTGTTGTGTTGGCTATTCTGGCTCTTTTGACTCTCCACGTAAACTTTATGATCAGTTTGTCAATATGTTCAAAATACTTTGCAGGGACTTTGGAATTGCATTGCATTTATAGATCAAGTTGGGAAAAACTGACATCTTGACAAAATTGAGTCTTCTTATCCACGAACATGGAATGCATCTCCATATATTGTTAAGTTTAAGGGAAAATAACATTTGCCAAATACATTTATGTTTCATCACTTCAAAATTAAAATTTCAAAAAATTCTATATTTTTCTTCTGACCAGTTTTTCCCAGCCAAATGTAACTATTTTACACACCAAGTATGTAGCACTAGCTCATCTGTGTTCTCAGAGGTCAAGTCACTCCTTTTCTTTCCTCCAGCAGTACTGGTGTCTTAATATTTAATAATACAAAGGTTCAGAGAAGAAAACAGAGCATTTACACAGCACACAGGCTCTGTCTAAATGGACTGTTTGTCTCTGTGTCAGGCTTCAGCCTGAATTCTCTTCTTTCTCACATGCCTCAGGACTGTACCAGAATAAGATTTCACTTTATTCCCTTCTTTTCATCTTAGGAGCTGGTAGATGGTGACAGGACTGGAAAACAGTTACTTCGAGATCTGAGCCTAGACCCGTGATCTTCATCTTTTGTTCAGGCTACTTGAGGCTGTATGCAATGATGAGGGACTGAAATTTCTCTTAAGGAAGGTGCAAAGCTAAATTTCTTTCACAGCGTGTAGAAATCGAAATGATGCTAGCGTTTTTGAAAACTGAAAAGTACAACTTTATTACATTGACCATTTTTCTATTGCTTAATAAGTGCTCTTATAACTTCTTCCTTTACAGTTTAGTTTAACTAGATGTGAATAAGATAAAAATTTAAAAACCAGATCATAGTATTTTCTTCCCATGAAGCTCTCCGGTTGTGGAGTTTTACCCTGAAATCTATCCTAATCCTTATCATACGTCTTAGTTCTACCCTCTCTTGTTGGATCACATCCCTGTGTGAGAAACATTAAGGGAGATTTGCTATGATTTCTCAGTCGATGTATAAAGAGAGAAGCAAACCCATCAGCAACATCACACAACCTAAAAGCATTCATGTTAATTCAGTCTTTGCATAGTTTCCAGCTGTGACCTACCAAGTCTCTGACCATCTGTGAAAGAAGACGGTCCTTTCTACCTGTTTCACTACCTTCTACACACACACACACACACGTGCATACACATACACAAATACTCATTTTCTCCTCCACCCTCTCTCTCTGCCTCTCCCCACCACATTCATGGGATCTATCTTTGAAAGGATAAAGGACAGATGGGGTAGAGATTTCTGTTCAGATTCTTCGCCAATTCTCTTACTATTCCAGTCAACACTCAATGTGTATCAGCTAAACCTGGGAAATGATACAGTACTTATTACTGTACATATGTCCTTCTCTAAACAAGAAAAGAAAAAACTAGAAGGAAAAAAACAAGACAATAATGAAGAAGCTAAAAAAAAGCAAATGGACAAAGATATCCATCTTCTTTGTTTTCACATTTTGAGTTCTAAAATAGAAGAGTTCTAAAATAGAAGAGCAAAGAATTTTTATTAAATTCTTTGGAGTATAAACAACCTATATTATTTACCTCTTTATAGAGCCATGTAAAGTCAGACAGCAGGAATTGGGGAGCTGTAAGCCAACCCTACTAAGTAGCAATGTTAAGTAGAAATTTTTAGAGAAACAAAAATGTTTATGTTTAATACTATCATTTAGCAGAGGGTGAAAATTATTTCTTCTTGACCTATATCTGGCAAAGAAATTGAAGCTTTCAATTTTAAAATGGTCATATCGGCCCGGGGTTCATATCCATCCTGTCCATGAAGGGCTCTGGGGGAATCCCAGTGCTTTGAAAAACAAAATTGTTGACTCAAGGCTACCATCTTTCTGAGTCACCATCCACACCCACTACCCCACCCTGGACTGTCGAGATGCCTCAGAGAATTCACCACAGAGTTGACTAAGTGAATAGTGAATCACCATAGTGATGGCTGGACCTTTGGAGATGCCAATTTTCTTGGCACTTGCTATGTTTCTTGGAAATATTTGAAGCCAAGTGTCATCTTGGTTTGATTAAAATTCACTCCTGAAACTTCATTTTCAAAGAAAACATGTTCTCTTTGTTGAATTTTGATGAGGTCTTTTGGGCAAGTGAACCTCATCGTTTATTTAAAAAGGATACATGATTCAGAGAGTTACTTGGAATTAGGGGTTTCTCGCCAATCATGAGCAGAAAAGTTAGGATTTTTTCAAAAAAATTAGTAAATCTTAATTGTGATAAAATATTAAACTTATAGAAACATTTCCATTCTAGACAGAGCACTTTCATACCCTCCACCAGAACCACTCATCGTTTACATTGGCCCCTTCCTTCACTCTCCCTCCCTTCCTCTCTCCACTCCTCATCCCACTTTCTTGCCTTCTCTTCCCCCATCTCATTTTTCCCACCCCAACCATATGCCAGTAGTTTGGAAACATTGTGCTCCTCTACCATTCAAGATTTGAGTGTGTATTTCCTAAAGTCAAAGATATTTTCTGCCATAACTACAATATGGTGATCAACATGAGGAAGTTAATGTTAATACAATATTTATCTGATCCACATCCGTCTTAAATTGTGTCAATGTCCTCCAATAATGCCCTTTGTAGCCCCCACCCCATCTAGGATTCAAGCCAAGATCATTGGTTGTCATATCTCTTTAAGAAAAGGTTTTTAACCCAATTTAAATTGGCAGGGACCTCAAAATCACTTCTGGCTATGAGGGCCTTATGGAAGAATCCTGTGAAAGAAAGATTCATCACTTAGATGGTGGAGAAGTCCACGTTCATAGCTTAAGCCAAATCTTCCCAGTGCAGACCTGGTTTTGTGCTGCTGGAAATGAAGGGAAGGTGCCTTTCCTCTGTCAACCTCCATCATTCCAGGGTGTTAAAAAAATGAACTGTCTCCATCTCCACTCTCTTCCTGTCTCTCCTGAATCAGGAAGTTCTCTCTCTTAAGGGAAGTGGTTTGCCATAGTGAGGAGGAAAGGGATTGGGGAAGAGAATCTCCAGGATGGGCTTCACTCGGGGCTTTCCGAGTCCTCCCCTGTGTCAGCGTGAGGCCTTAGGATCACACCGATCCATGGAAAATGCCAAGGAAAATGCCTTAGAAAGGCAGACCAGCTGGGGGACCTGCTAGAAGATGTTGAGTAGTGCTCAGAAGCAGTTTGAAAGCAGATGCCCTAGCAGCCATCAGGGGGACCTGCTAGAAGAAGGTGCGGAGTGCTCAGATGTAGTTTGACGCTAGTGCAGATGCACTAGCAGCAATGGCCTTCCTCCAGTCCGAAAGACAGGGAAAGTGAGAAGCCAAAGCCAGGAGCCCTTTCCAGAGGCGACCTGCAGGTGACAGCCAGGGACGTGGCTTCTTCTCTAGAGGGGGCACCTTTCCACTCTTCCTTCCTTGGCATTAGCTCCATAGCCCCTGTGCTTCTCCCCTGCTCTCCACCCAGCCCTGTGCCTCACAATAGTCAGGGGTCTTGTGGTGCAGGGAGGGATGGCTTGAAGGCAGAGGGAAAGCAAACTCTGCAGGCCAGCGTTTGAGGACCTCCTGCCCTGATATCGCCCGCGACTGCCACCTACACTCTTCTCCCCAATACACATCACTCAGTGGCATGAGCCCTGTCCTCTGCCTCCATCCCTGCTCCTCTCCCTCCCTCCTCAGCCCCATCTCCCCATCCCAGGCCTGTCCTGAGCCCCTTCTCCTTTCCTGATGCCCTCTGAGTCCTCTGTAGCTTCTTCCCTTTCCTCTCCTGCCATATCGCCAACCTCAAGCCTAATGAATGTCACCAAAGGCTTGGAAATGGAAGAAGCAGGTATCTCCAGAGACTTTCCAGTTAGAAACTGCTGAAAGCATTTTCAGTAGAAATGTTATTGTGTGTGTAGGTTATGTCTACAGCATAGTTCATCTTCAGCGTCAGATCTCTCACAGCTTAAAGCCACTTCCGTGGGCTCTCCTGGTTGCCTACCTGCCCACAGAACATCATGGCTGTAGGAAAAAAGCAAACAGAGCCCCAGCAAACCTTCTCCTGCCCCTTATTCCTAACCAGCCTCCCTCCTTCCAACTGGGCAAGTTCCTTGCGTGCTCACATGGATAAAATTTTCTAGATCAATCATGTTCTTTGTGAGTATATAGGGATAAAAATCTCCCAGTTAACAGAGTTTAACCAGATGGGTTAAGACAGAGAAACTTTAAAACAAGGGCCCAAAAACAATCTATTTTGAACTGTTTGTGTTTACAAAGGATTGTTTTGGTGCTCCAGTGCCCCAAACTGGTAAGTCACAGGACAAAGGTGTTCATCTAAAGTTTCAGTATCGCCAGTGGTGATCTCCGACCCAACCTGGATGTAAGGAAGCCGAGCCCATTTCAGATAGAACATTTTTGAACATCTTTGGACAATATACTTACTCCTCTTTGTCTACCTGCTTTTTTCACTCATGAAATGCTGCAGGCTGAGATCCACACCGCTGTCATTTCTCTCTCCTGTTTTCTCTTCTGTACATTTATGAACAGCGGGTCACAGAAAGTCGAGAGAGCCAGATGACGATTGAGGAGAGGAAGCAGCTCATCACTGTGAGAGAGGAGGCCTGGAAGACGAGAGGCAGAGGAGCGGCCAACGACTCCACCCAGTTCACTGTGGCTGGCAGGATGCTGAAGAAAGGTCAGTGTGTGTGTGTGTGTGCGCGCGCGCAATGCACACCTGTGAGCACACTGACCCATGGAGGGCATGGTGGTACATGATAACTCAATTTAAAGGAAAAAGCCATGGTCTCTTTAATTTTTTTATTTTTTTATTTATTATTTTTTTTTTGAGAGATCGGGTCTTGCCCTGTTGCCTAGGCTGGAGTGCAGTGGTTCAATCATGGCTCACTGCAGCCTCAAACTCATGGGCTCAATCTTCCCACCTCAAACTCAAACTCAAACTCAATCTTCCCACCTCAGCCTCTCTAGTTGCTGGGACTATAGGTGTGCAACACCATGCCTGGCTTTTTAAAACTTTTTTTTTTTTTTTTGAGATGGAATCTCACTCTGTCGCCCAAGCTGGAGTGCAGTGGCGTGATCACAGCTTACTGCAACCTCCGCCTCCTGGGTTCAAGCAATTCTCGGCCTCAACCTCCTGAGTAGCTGGGATTACAGGTGCCCGCCTCCATACCTGGCTAATTTTTGTATTTTTAGTAGACGAGATTTCACCATATTGGCCAGGCAGGTCTTGAACTCCTGACCTCATGATCCACCCGCCTCGGCTTCCCAAAGTGCTAGGATTACAGGCGTGAGCCACCACGCCTGGCCTTTAAAACTTTTTATGTAGAAATGGGGTGTCACTGTGGCCCAGGCTGGTCTCAAACTCCTGGGCTCAAGTGATCCTTCCGCCTCAGTCTCCCAAGTAGCTGGGATTACAGGCATGAGACACCATGCCCAGCCTTCTTTAAAAGTTTTAAACTTACTGACGTCCTGTACATGTTTTTTGGGTAGGGTCTGTGAGATAGTCCTACCGAGTATCTTTTCTTCATAAATAATGTCAGCTTCAATGTAAATGCATATTTCAATTTGTCACTATCTCAAAACTTACCCCTTTGGAATTGAGTGCAATTGTAGGTTTCAAAAGCAATTCAGATCTGCTAGCAAATATTGGTCCTTTCCCAGAATTACTTTTAAATCATTTCCATTTCCTTGTGACCTGGCAACCACATACCCTAAGTCAGCCTTTCACAGTAAAGAAGTTTATCCCCTCTTCCTTTTAGGTTAATTCCTAGGTCCTTCTCCATGAAACCTGATTTCTCTGACTGACCAAGCCAATTCCGGATATGCTTTAATAAGTGTCTAAAATGTGTCCTCAGTTCCAAAGCAGTGGGGCGTCCCTGCCGCAGTCCTCTGCTGCTGAGCTCTTAGAACTGATTTGATGCCTGTATTCAAACATGTATGAAACTGACTTACATATGAAATGCTTAGTAAAGTCACCTGAGAGCTTTGAGTCTTCATAGGAGTGTTTGGGGCTTTATTTCCTATCCTGCAGGAAATTGTTAAATTTTGGGGTCCCTTTGTCACCTATATGCACATACCATCATTTTCTAAGCTATTGTTTAAAAGCAGATTTCCCAACTTAGTGGTAAACATTTTCACATTCACTTCATCTTAACATCTCGTCATCAGCTTTATAGGCTTAGCTTTCCTTTTTCTCAAAACCTTCAGAGAACCACACTTTCATGAATAGGACCTAATTCATTATAGGTACATAATAAATGTCTGCAGAAGGAAAGGAGGGGAAATCCCTGAATTGTAACTAACTCAAACCTTAGCAGGAAATCCCTTCCAGCAGATCTCTTCAACCTCATCTTGGAATTGTGAAAAGATAAGAGAAGATAGTTTACTCTCACATTAAATTATTTGCCAATTTTCTGCATCAGATCACAGAACTGGATAATCGTGTTTAAACTCCTTTAACATGAACCCCAACCCTTCTTTAACAGAAGTACCTCCTTAGGCGCAGAGTGACTAAGTAGAACTGGAGCTGAGAACTTGAATCAGACCTCAGGTTTTCCAACTTCTAGCCCAGACGTTTATCTTAAAGACTTTCTGCTTTGGTTTCTTTTTTCCTCTTCTATCTTAAAAATCCTAATTTATTTGTAAGTGGGTTCTTACTACCAAATGCCACTGCCCTTGTTCACATTGACATAAGAGGATATAGAGTTGCTCTTATGCAGGTTTGGAGAAGGAACAGTTCCCATTTCTCTGTGAATGAGTTCGCTTTCATATTTTCCTGAATATATCAGGGATCTTTATTTAACAGGTGCTATATGGCTCACTCAGGAAATTATCTTCTTATACTTTATAATTAATGAAAAAACTGTTTCTTATATTTCTATTATTTGCCATCACCTCCTGGGTTATATGTTTCACTTGAGTCATTAGCTGTTTTTGATTTGTAGTGATAAGGCATCCGATTTACATTCACTGCACAATAAAATAACCCCCTACACAACAGCCTGGGTTCCTACCTCCCAGGAACATCAGGCAACCAGGAGTGACCACCTCTCAGTGCATTGCCAGGAGGCATCCGGGGCCTGACCTTCATTCTCTCACCCCAGAAACCTCTCTTCTCCTGCTAGTCTCATTAGGACTTTCTCCCTTTTTTATATTCCTCAATTCTGTGTAACAGTTAGCACTCCACAAGGTTCCTGTGGCATTCTAGGTTTCTTCTGGAAGCCAAGTACTCCAGCCACACCTGGAGTAAGAGAGATGTGACAGTGTTCCCGAAGAGAGTAGGTGACTGGTTGTTGTACCTAGAATTCATTGAAAAGAGCTATGGAAGATCTTTGTTTTAACGTTTTGTAATTTGCATCTCTATGCCCTGAGCCATTCATTGCCTAAGGATCCTTATCTCTAGCTGGGAGAAGAGCTCTTTTGGATAGTGCCACTGCCTGAACCGCCAGCAGGGGGAGCCATGGCAGCGGGGTTTGCCTGGCACCCGCCAGGACAGGGAGGGATTTCTCCCGTTGCTTTGGAAACCAACCGTCAGAGTCAGCCCTGTTTATTATTAGCTGCGGAGTTAACGGCGTCTGTGCTAATGAACTCCTCTGATGTCTCTTAAGCATCCTTCTAGTGAGTGATGGTTTCCCTCCCCACCCTGTGATACCAGATTTTATTTATCTTTATCATCTTTCAACAAAGTTTACTTTCTCATGGATATAAACCCTTTGTAGTTCTGGCAATTGAAACAAATTTTAAAACTTTTATTGATATCATCAATCAAATATATGTATAAAATGAGAAGTACTTCTAGGATGTTACCTAAAACTTGAGTTTTAAACCATTTAATGGTATTTTTTATTAAATTTTTATGCTGTAATACTTCTCCCATTCACAGGAGGAAGGAGCAGAATCATTCATTTGGTTTTCCTTGCGATAGTGATTGGCATATTCTCTGGATGTTGTTCGTCCAGGGATGCATTGTCATCTAAGTAGCAATGTCATCTAAGGATTTCACATTTATTACAAATGAGTGCAGAGAACATTCACATCTCATTTTGGTTTTTGTAAATGCACTAGTTTTCTTTCCAATGCCTTCCACTTAGGTTAGGGAAGTGATACTCATCCTTCTCTTTACTAAGTTTTCTTCTTCCAGCTGGATACTTTCTTCATGCTGGAATTCCTCCCTTTCCCTTTCATATGTCTCTCACAACTTGCCCTTCTAAAGATTCCCCAACCTGCTTCTCAGTAAATATACGAGGAAAAGCATTTCCTGTTTCCGCCCACATGGGAGATGGACAGGACCTTCCAACACGCACAGTCAGTCCAGACCTGCCCTGGTCTGTGGTTTCTTCTGAAAGGTTGGCCCTCCTTGGGTTACTGTCTGTGTAATGTCCCCAAGGCCACTGTCCCTCCCTCCCCTCAGCCTGAAGGAGAGCTTCAGTGCTGAGGGTCACTTGCTGGCGAGTGTGACACAGTTCATTCTGCAGATGGCACCAGTGCACTCTCAGCTGCCCCCGCCACCCCCAGAGGGCCTCAGAACTCACAGCTGCATTTGCCCAAGTTTACATGTCACGAATATGTTTTCCCACGTCTTCAGCATTCATTTTGGAATATCAGCTTGTCAGCCACTACGATCCTTGGAAATAATAGGAAATAATAAAATCCTGTCCACATTTGCAGTTGGTTGTCCCACAGTCGCCGTACCTGTGAAGTGCGTGTGTGTGTGTGCCTGCATGTGTGTACATTCTTATATGTTGTACCATCTACCCTGGGACTCCTGGAGATTCATCAGGGTCCCAGAGATTTCCAGAAGTGACCCTGAGATGCTCAGTAGCTCGTCTGTGTGTTCTGCAGGTTTGGCGTCACCCACTGCCATAACCCCAGTAACCTCACCCATTTGCAGTAAAACAAGAGGCACCACACCCGTTTCCAAACCCCTGGAAGGTAAGTCACCAAGGCCCCGGCCACGCCAAGCCTGATCAGAAGAGGCCTCAGTGATGCGGTCTCACTGACAGTTTCTGCTCGCCTAGATATCGAAGGCAGACCAGATATGCAGTTGGAATCGGACCTGAAGTTGGACAGGCTGGAAACCTTTCTGAGAAGGCTGAATAACAAAGGTACCTACCAGAAGCCAGAAGGCTTTGCTCTCAGAATCCCTAAATCCAAATTCTGATTGCTTTTCTTCCTCAGCTAAATTGTTTTCTTTCCATTATGGCTTTACTAAGTCATACTGTAATCATTATCTTTGTTGTTATCTTAAAAAAATGAAGTTTTGGTCAAGACTGATTAGACTATCAACCCCTGATTCACTTGATAATGTACTAAATTGGGGGCCCCAATAACACATTTGCTCTTGAATCTAAACTCTTGGGATGCCATCCAATCAGAATTGTGAACTGAGTGATTTTGCTTATAACTCTGAAAGCAGATTATTATATGTCGGCCAAATCAACATGATCTTGGGCCTGGTGAACTTTAAATTGTATGTTATCAGTTTCCAATAAGGTAAAAGCTGACGTTATTTCTTATAATCACAAATGATTTCTAAAAGAAAATTATGGCAAATGAATATTGAAATAAATATTTCAGTATAAAAGTCAACGAAATACACAAAATAAAAGCAATATGCAGAAATTGCCTTTTATCTCTTGATTAAAATGTCCAATCCAGGAAACTTACCAAATACTAGGCACTGGGAGCCCCTCCTATTGACAGTGACCACTAAAAGGTTGAAAATAATAAAACCACCACTGAACAGAAATATGAAAGTATAATATAATCACTAAACTAGCTAAGCAAGGAATGCCAATCAGCAAAGCATTTATTACAAATGTGGAACAGTGATCTAGCCATGGGTTAGCAAGCAATGGCCATTGCCAAATCCAGCTGCCCACCTGCTTTTGTTTTTTGTTGTTGTTTGTTTGGTTTGTTTTTTAGAGACAGTGTCTTGCTCTGCCACCCATGCTAGAGTTCAGTGGTCCATCATAGCTCACTGCAGCCTTGAACTCCTGGGCTCAAGCAATCCTCCCACCTCAGCCTCCTGAGTAGCTCCAACTATGGGTGTTCACCACCAAGCCTGGCTAATTTTTTTACTTTTTCTGTTTTTGTAGAGATGGGGTCCCACTATGTTGCTCAGGCTGGTCTTGAATTCCTGGGCTCAAGCAATTCCCCTACCTTGCTCTCCTGAAGTGCTGACACTATAAGCCTGAGCCACCATGCCCAAACCTGTTTTTGTAAATAAAGTTTTATTGAGACACATTCATGCCAATGTGGGCTTTTGCATTATAACAGCAGAACTGAGTAGTTGCAACACAGGCCCCTTGTCGCCCCTCCCCATGCAAAGCCTAAAATGTTTACTGGTTGGCCCTTTTCAGAAGAAGTTTGCTGACCCTTGATGTAGAATGAGGCCAAGGCTGGTTCATCCACCCTCAGCAGAAGCCAGTGCAGGTTCAGAAGCGTTCAGTGGGCTGGTGTGTGCAGTAAGGTCAGCCTCCCTCTCTCCCACCATTTTACTGCAGAAGATTTGTTCAGGTGGGAAGTCCTTATGTCAGAGATAGGTCAGAGATTAAGTAAGGGCCTGGCAAGCAACCACAGGACCCTGTATATCACAATCGTGTTTCCTCCACTCCGGGAACTTAGGAGGAAATAGAATCTTCAAACTATTGTGAGGCATAATTGGAGTCCTTGTTTTTATAAAACTCTTACGTCATTTGCTTGTTTGTTGATAGTAAGCGGGATGCAAGAAACAGTGCTCACTGTCACCGGCAAATCTGTGGAGGAGGTGATGAAGGCGGATGATGATGAAACCTTTGCCAGATCTTACCACAGCGTGGGTTATAATACGCCCACAAGTCCTGTGGAGCTGGACGAGGACTTCAAAGTCATTTTCAATCCTTATGCACCCAAGTGAGTTATTTGGGTCTGCGTCTTTCCTCCACTGAGAAGGGCTTCCTTCGCCTACACACAGCATATCCACCAGGCTCTTTCCCCATGTGACCTCCTTCTGCTAACTCCATCACAGGGGCGTTAGTATTCTAGAGCCAGGGCACGCTGTTGCAGGAGCCAGGGGCCACAAAGCCTCCCAGCAGATAAAACATGCAGACGGCAGACCAGATGTGCGGGCAGGCAGACCCGTGTGCCACAGGTGCTTGTCCTGTGCCATAAAGAAAGTGTCAATGGATTTTTCACATAACTTGAATACTGTTTTGCAGTTTTTAGGTTTACATCACTTAGCAGAGTTCAACGCCTGTCTTTCATTTGACGTATTTAATTCTTTTTTTTTTTTTTTTTTTGAGACAGAGTCTTGCTCTGCCGCCCAGGCTGGAGTGCAGTGGCGTGATCTTGGCTCACTGCAAGCTCCACCTCCCTCAGCCTCCCGAGTAGCTGGGACTACAGGCGCCCGCCACCTCGCCCGGCTAGTTTTTTTGTATTTTTTAGTAGAGACGGGGTTTCACCGTGTCAGCCAGGATGGTCTCGATCTCCTGACCTCGTGATCCGCCCGTCTCGGCCTCCCAAAGTGCTGGGATTACAGGCTTGAGCCACCGCGCCCGGCCTGACGTATTTAATTCTTACTCATAACTTTGCAAAATATTTGGATGAGATGGGCTCAAATTAGTACAGCTCACTAAAAAATCAGTAAGGCATGTTACTTAGTTTCCAATCATTTACAAAATCAATATATCTGCGGGTTTTCTCAGTGATGACTAAGGGTTTCTCTTCCCACGGGAACATGACGAACCCAACTAGGAAGTGATTATAGTATTAGGAGTCCATCAATTTCAAGTGCCAGAAAAACATCCCAATTCAAACCGACTTCAACCAAAAAGAAAAATGAGAGGGGTTTACTGGCTCACTGGCTGAACAGTGCGGAGGGGTTTAGGCGCTCACTCGCTGAACAGTGCCGAGGGGCTGACCGGCTCACTCGCTGAAAAGTGTGGATGTGGCCTCGGGTTCTAGCGGCCCCTCAGAACACAGTCTGTCTTGGCTTTGGGCTGGCCGCACTCTCCGTCAGGCAGTGGCCTGGCGGCAGATGGACACCCCAGCTCTGGAGTCACAAGGCTGCCTCCCTGGCCAGCCCAGCACAGGTAGCTTCTCTTCCCAGTAGTCCCAGCAGAATTTCCAGGTTTGATTTTCTTGGCTTCAACTGGAGTCCCGTGTCCATCCCTAAACCAGTCACTGTGGCCAATGGGATGGAAGATGCCGACTGGCTAAAGGCGGGTCTCTGGGTCTCCGCTAGAGCCACGGTGGGGGCGCAGGGAGGTGGTTTCCCCAAAGGAAAATCCAGATGCTATTACAGAAGCAGAGGAGGACACGCTGGACAGGCTCCACCCACGGCAGTCCACCACGTCCATCGGGTCTTTCCTGCGAAATTGTCAGAGTGACAATCTCTTCCATTATCATATATTTAAACTGCTCTCGAGATATTTTTTGCATGTTTAAGTTTGTTCAATTTGTTTCAATTTGCATATTTTAATTTCCTACCTTAAAAAATGAACCCTTTGCCATTTTCCACCTCAAAATAGTATTTTGGGTATTTGCATACATAGCTATTTAACCACTTCGCAATCTTCCACCCACCCAATGTCACTGTTTAAATTGTTGTATATCATAATTTAAACATGTATGTATGTTGACACACACATATAACAACATGGTACGTAAAGAGGCCTTTCGGGCACAGAGACCCGCGCAGCTGGAGGTGGAGAGTGGCAGCGGGAGTCTGTTGGGAGATCGCTTCGCTCCGTCCGCTCACCTCCCCAAGTCTGGTTTTCCACCCCAGAGTTATGAGAATGTGGGGTGGTCACAGATGGTTGCGGGCCCATTTTATTTCAGATATTCTTCCAAAAAGTGGTTATTTTTCAGAGGGGGGCAGTGAGTTGAGTGAAAGTTAGTCATGGAGAGACAGTAAGGGGACCGAAAGCTATTGCACAGGGAGAAAGTTTAGTCGGAGCGAAGAGGATTACATCAAAGAGTCGTGGTCTGCAAATTCCCTAGGGGCTTGCGGGAGACAGACAAGTAGACATGGGTGTATGATTCCAAAGCGAGAATTAGGACACGTGCATGGGCGCCGTAAGGAGAAGGAAGAGCTTCCTAACCCCCAGAGCTGTCTAGCAGAGCCATGAGCTGCCCGGAAGTACTCCACACCCTTCCAGGCAGAGACCAAGGGGCATGAGTGAGCAGGGGCGTCCGGGCGTGGCTGAGATTTGAACTCAGTAGGCTTGCATCCCTCTTCCATCTCCAAGATTCTGCGACTCCATGTCAGGGAAGTGGTGGTGGGAGGAGGAGTTGCAAGACTCATAACAAAATCAGGAAATACCCTTTGTAGTCCAAGACCCACAGGTCATCCCGGTGCGGTGTTGCAGACTGGGACCGCGGCTCTGCTTCCATCCGCAGATTGACGTCTTCCGTGGCCGAGCACAAGCGCGCAGGCAGGCCCAAGCGCCGGGTTCAGGCCTCCAAAAATCCCTTGAAAATGCTGGCGGCAAGAGAAGATCTCCTTCAGGAATACACCGAGCAGAGATTAAACGTCGCCTTCATGGAGTCAAAGCGGATGAAAGTAGAAAAGAGTGAGTATTTGAACCCCCACCCTGCTTCTGTGCTTGGGAATGGTTTTTTCCGAAGATTTACTCATTGCTTGGTTTTCTGCCTTGTGAAGGCCAATAATGGTGCTCAGAAGACCCTCATGAAGTAAAAAGGAGTAAGTTTGCACGTACATGTGCACGCTTACCTAGACTTTAAAGATTTTTCAGGGAAATTCTCACAGTGTGTATCACCTGTTCAACTGGTTAATTCAGATTATCCTGGGGTTTGGTTTTTGTTTTTGTTTTTAAGAGACTGGGGTCTCATCCTGTTTCCCAGGCTCATCTCAAACTCGCTGGCCTCAAACAATCCTCCCACCTTGATCTCCCAAAGTGCTGGGATTACCGGCAGGAGCCACCGTGCCTGGTTACAAATTAATCCTGTTTTGTTGAGTTTTCTTTCCAGAAGTTAGAAGAGATGGATATTTCTGAGTATGGTAATTCAGCCATTTTCAGCTCTGTAGATCCTGAACACAATCATTCTTCGTTTAATCTTATTCAAGAGCAAGTCATTTGATCTCTTACAGTAAAACACCTCAAATCACTGGTGTTTCTAATCCTAGATTTTTTTTTTTTTTTTTGAGACAGAGTCTTGCTCTTTTGCCTAGGCCTGGTGGCGAGTGGTGCGGGATTCCTTGGCTCTCTGCAACCTCCGCCTCCCAGGTTCAAGCAATTCTCCTGCCTCAGCCTCCCGAGTAGCTGGGACTACAGACGCACACCACCTCGCCCAGCTAATTTTTGTATTTTTAGTAGAGTCAGGGTTTCCACCATGTTGGCCAGGATGGTCTCGATCTCTTGACCTCGTGATCCAGCTGCTTGGCCCCCAATGCTCTGGGATTACAGGTGTGAGCCACCATGCCCAGCCTCTAATACCATTAGGATTTTTATATTATTAACTAACACATACGCCAGTGCTTTTCAAATTGTTCTTGGTAGGACCCTGAGCTTCTCTGAGTTGGGATGTGGGCTGGAGGGAGCCGGCTAGGGGCAATGAATGGAGGCGAGGAGATGGGCTCCAGGCTCTCACTCCCACTGTAGGCTGAGCCACACTGCTCTCATCTGCCCAGTAATGTGGGGTTCCATCATTCTGAAACAATGATTTTCTTGGTTTGAGGTGATAGCATGCATAATCTTGATTTTTGGAATAATCTTGCTATAATTTTCGTTTTCCCATAACATAAACCTATTTCCTCATGTTTTTCTTAGAAATATAGTATTTAGATGAAGTGGTTGAGTCTTTTCATTATAACTAGCTTACTAAGAAAGTATATTTCAGGCTGGGTGTGGTGGCTCACACCTGTAATGCCAGCACTTCAGGAGGCAGAGGCAGGAGGATCACTTGAGCCCAGGAAGTCAAGGCTGTAGTAAGCTGTAATCACAGCACTGCACTCCAGGCTGGGTGACAGAGTCAGATTCTTTCTCAAAAAAAAAAAAGGCATATTTCAAAATCACAACACCACAATTAATTGACAAATATTGTCATATTTCTCCAAACATAATCCCAGTAAAAAATGTTCTGAATATCTCTCCAGCATATACATTTTTAAAAACAATAAGTTGGAGAAATAAAGGTTTGTTAGCACAAATCTTACATGCATTTCCTGTGCTTCTGGTTTTGGGGGGCTCAGGGGTTGGATTAGTGATGACTAACTGACCCATAGATGTTTGCACTGAAAACCCGGCATCTTATAAATACAATCTTAACTATCTTAACTCTGAGAGCAGTAGACCTCAAGATAACGTCTAGTTGATCACTTTGCTTCAGCAAAAGATTAGAACCTAATCATCCCTTACAGACTGCCTACTTTTTTTTTTTTTTTTAACATATAAAGGGTTTTGGTGAAAACTGTCTAACAGTCATCTGGCATCTGTACATTCGGGCATCTAAAAGTTGTTAGGATTTATAACAGCTTCCAGTGGAATTGCAACAAGGAATCCGGCTCCTGGTTTTGTACTAAAGTGGCTGGTCCACATCATCACTCAATTCCTGTCCCTCTGCACAGCGTGGTGTGACACTTGTCAACAAGCAGTTTATATTTTCAATGCTGTATTTAATTCTTAACCGGTGGTTAAGCACTGAATTGCACATTTAATCAAACTTGATTATGTTTTCCCTTTCAGGATTAACTTGAAAAGGCAAAGGTGTTGAGTCAGTTATGAATAATTTCTGACTGCAAATATTGTCACTGTAACTGAACCTCCTGCGTTGTCTTTCCTTATTCAACCCGCCCAGTGTCTTCCAACTCCGGCTTCTCAGAAGTCACCCTGGCGGGTTTAGCCAGTAAAGAAAACTTCAGCAGCGTCAGCCTGCGGAGCGTCAACCTGACGGAACAGAACTCCAACAACAGCGCTGTGCCCTACAAGAGGCTGATGCTGTTGCAGATTAAAGGTATTTCAGAGCAGCCTGGCACGGTGACTCAGGGCCCGTGGTTTCTGTCTGGTCACATAAAGATTCCTGACTGTGTAATTCATCGCCTGTGCCAGGAAGGGAACGCACGCTTTTTGAGAACCTACTGTGTGTTCCTTGCTATGCAACCTCCTGTCTCTTAAGCTTCCCCCAATCCCATGACATAGGAAGTATTCTGCCCATCATGGCTTCCAGAGGCAGGAATGTGTCTGGGGTCGCGGCAGCTACTGGGTGGCAGAGCTGGATTCGAACCCAGGTCCCCCCACTCCGGAATCCCAGCTTTTGCTCCTGGTGCCCCATGCCCCACGTGGTGGCCAAACATCCATGCAGTTACCAGAGGTGCCCTATGTCATCAGAGGGGCTCTCTGCTCCCTGCCCAGTCCTCCCTGAGTCAGTACAGACCCAGGGAGGAAGACACAGCTTAGGGAAGGAATCAAGGGAAGGTGGATGCAGATGAAGCCCACCTGCCTTGCACTCCAGTGCCCTTCCTGTCCGTAGCCAGGGAGATTCCAAAGACTAGCCAGGGAGATTCCAAAGACAAACCAGGGGGGCTCTGGGCCATGAGGAGGGAGACTCGGCTGCCTCCTGGCGGCCACTGTATAGATGAATCCTCCAGATGTGAATGGGGGAAATAGCCTCTGCCTCCGGGAGGGTTTCCCACGTCTTTCTGCATGACCGCTGTCCTATTGTGTGTGTTTAAAAAGACCAGTGACAAGCTCAAATAACCGATCTCTGTCCTGAGTCCTAACCCAGAGACTACATGATCAGTGTAATTGTGGAAAGCTCAAAATCAACAAATATTTAGGAGAAGGTGTTGAAAGCCACAGAAGGTGGTGGCTCCATCCTTCCTGTTGAGAGGCCCCTAGGGTTCATAGTGGAAACTCCCTAGGGGAAGATCTGACCCTTCCTGAAGGCGTGGCTTCCCTTGCCTGGGCCACAGATGTAATTGGGTGCAGGAGGTGGCCAGGGGAGAGGAAGGCCCCCGGAGAAGAGTGAAGGAAGGAAGAGGAGCCTGTGCGCTCATCTCCCTGGAAGGGGGAGCCCTCATTAACCCACACACGTGACACTGATAATGGTCCTGAGAAGCGGGTGACATTTGGGAAAGCACGAACCACACAAGCAGCCACTAGTGCCATCATGATGCCCTTTCTAAATCCCCCTGCTGCCACCCTGGCATGGGCACTCTTAGCAGCAGACAAGACTCTTTAGAAGTGAAAGTGTCTGCAGCAGAGATTCTTCCAATGTGGGTGCGTCCTGTCCCCGTTCTGTCTGGAAAGACGGTGATTGTCTGCCTTGTGTTCAGGAAGAAGACACGTGCAGACCAGGCTGGTGGAACCTCGAGCTTCGGCGCTCAACAGTGGGGACTGCTTCCTCCTGCTCTCTCCCCACTGCTGCTTCCTGTGGGTAGGAGAGTTTGCAAACGTCATAGAAAAGGCAAAGGTTGGTACCTGCAAAATAAAAATGCTTTAGCTAACCTCTCCTTTACACACCAGTGGAGTGTTCTTCCTGGCGTCAGTCACAAAGCTTCTCAAACGCCAGGTGTTGCATTCAAATGAGAAGGGATAGGTAGGATTTCTTTTCCTGAATGTCTTTCAAACAAGCCTTCATTACGTGTTTAAATGGAGTGTTTTAGGACTATGATCTACACCCAAGTGTTTAGGTCCTGGGTTCCTTCTTACTCCTGTGTAAAAAAGGAAGTGGCCCCCTTTAAAGTCCTTTATCCCAGGTAGCTGTGAAGTTCTGCCATAGACCTAGTGAATGAGACTGTCATGGGGTAAAGCCCAAAGAATGATGTTTTTTAAAAGCATCACATGTGACCTATTGAAGATGGAGAACTGTTGCTCTAAAGAATTGATACTCCCTGGTCTTTCAGTTACATTTTCTTGAGGTCATTGAAAATACCCATTAACCAGCATCCACCCACACGCATGATCACAAGGCTTTCCTTGCAGGCACACACTGTTTCTCCCTCAGGTTTTGACATGTGCCACTCTGTCTAGCCAAGGGCTTTTCTACCCAGGTAATTGCATTCCTTTCTTTTCTTAGGCCTCAGAACTTGCAGCTTTAATTCAGACAAAGAGGAAGCTTGATTGTAGAGCTACTTATATCTAAACCATCGAAGAAGGAATTAACATACACACTCATGCAGCCAAAGACTTCTGGAAGCTTCTGGGTGGCCAAACCAGTTACCAGTGTAAGACTTTATTGCACTTCAGAGATTGACAAGACTTGAATCTGCTTTCTTCTCCCTTAGCTCATTCTTCTGAACCAGCTATTTTGCAATGTAAAATGTGATGCCCTCCTGTTGTTCTTATCCCCAAGCTGCTGGAGACCCAAAAGAAGATGAACTCTATGAAGCAGCCATAATAGAAACTAACTGCATTTACCGTCTCATGGATGACAAATTTGTTCCTGATAACAACTACTGGGGGGAAATTCCAAAGTGCTCCCTTCTGCAACCCAAAGAGGTACAGCCCATGGGCTCTGCCCTTCAATGAGAAAGCACATTGAAAGCACTCAGCACAAGCTGCCCAATAAATTAGAGAGTAAGTGCCCAATAAAGGTTAGCCAGTGTCAGTACCCATTGTAGAACATTTACAGTTTTTAAAAAGATTTTCTTTCTTTCTTTCTTTCTTTTTCTGAGACACAGTCTTGTTCTGTTGCCAGGCTGGAGTGCAGTGGCGAGATTTCGGCTCACTGCAACCTCTGCCTCCCTGCTTCAAGCGATTCTCCTGCCTAAGCCTCCTGAGTAGTTGGGACTACAGGCGCCTGCCACCACGCCCGGCTAATTTTTGTATTTTTGGTAGAGACAGGGTTTCACTATGTTGGCCAGGATGGGCTCGATCTCCTGACCTCGTGATCCACCTGCCTCAGCCTTTCAAAGTGCTGGGATTACAGGTGTGAGCCACTGTGCCCAGCCAGAATATTTGTTATTTCAACCCATTACTGACATCTTAAATGCTAATATGGAATCCAGAATATTGTTCAAAGGTGGCATGGATCATTGAAAGCATCATAGGCAAAATGTAAATATTAGCCCTATCTCTTACATTTTGTATAAACATTAACTAGAATATTTTTCAGTCCTTAAGTTTGAGGAATAATAGATGCATATATATATAATTTATGGATTTTTCAATTAATATGCTGTTTTTGTCCTATCACACCAGTAAATATTTATTAATTACATATATTTCCAGTACCATTAAGTATACTAAGTGTTGAGAAAGTGGAAGACACACAGGCCCTTAAGTTTTATTGGGTGGAAGAGTATTAAAAGGAATGTAATCTGGAGTAAGGTTGACTGTGTGATATGTATGGGCATTTACATGGAGGAAAAGTCACAGAAAAAGAAATCATCAGGAATAATTTTCAATAGAAAGTGAAATTGAGCCGAGTTTAGAGTTAAGCAAATTTGAATTGCTAGAAGTGAAGGGAGAAATCATTCTAAGAGAAAGAGTAAAACAAACTGTGAAAATAAGAAATAGCATTACATTCATGTATTCATTCAGCAAACACTTAGTAATCAATCCCTCCTGTATGTATTACTATGATCTAATCCCTGCCCTTAAGGATCTTGGAATTGTGTACAGGAGAGAAGACACCATTAGACCACGAGTGCCTGGCATATATGAAGTGGCCTCTATGTATATATTAATGAATGAGCACATGAGAGGGGGAGGAATCAGGGAGAGAGGGAGGAAGTCGACAGGATGATGTACCTAAAGAACTCTTGTGAATTGCAAGTTGTAAGCAGTTTGAGAGTTCAGAGGAGAGAACATTATCTTGGCCACTTAGGACACTGGGAGGAGGAATCATGCCTCCAGGGCAGAGGCTGGCTTGGCGGGGCAGTGCCAGCTGAGATCTCCTGGCATTTTATGCAGGGCAGTGCCAGCTGAGATCTCCTGGCGTTTTTGTGTCTGCGTTGGTTGCCCCATTGGGATTTCTGTCTTCCTCCATTTGAGTCGCTGTCAACAGAGACCCTGTTGCACCTGATTCAACTGTTGCACGTTCTTGAAGTTAACAAATTCTTTTGTGCCATTTCTCCCAGGTACTGGTGTTCGATTTTGGTAGTGAAGTTTACGTATGGCATGGGAAAGAAGTCACATTAGCACGACGAAAAATAGCATTTCAGCTGGCAAAGCACTTATGGAATGGAACCTTTGACTATGAGAACTGTGACATCAATCCCCTGGATCCTGGAGAATGCAATCCGCTTATCCCCAGGTACTCCTGCCACCGCCTGGGGACGGCTCCCCGAGCGAGCTGATTCCCTTCGATCCCTCCGTTCTCACCACAGTCCTCTACTCTCGCTCTTTACAGGGTTCAGTTTTCATAAACGGTTATATGCAGCGGACTGTGAATAGTCACAAAAGGAACCGTTCTTTAACTTTTATCTAACTATTGTGGAAATATGGATGCTGTAGTCTTCTGGAAGAGGTTTGTTACAGTTGATTTCTTGAAGTGAGCAAGAAAAGCTGCCAGTTCCCCTGCAGCGTCCCAGGTGCTGCTGTGGCAGACGAACAGCAATTGTTGAAACAAATGCATGCAGATCTGAAAGGCTTCCCAGGTCTGGAATTCAGCCATTGATCTGAAAGTGCAAAAGCAACATGCCTTCTTCTAATTTCTTACCTTCCCAGCATCACCCTCAAATTCCAGGATTTATTTGGCAGCAAACGATGTTTATGTCTTTATACCTTTGGGAAGGGAAGAGGGGGAGAAGATGGTATTAAAATTATGATTGCAATTTTAATATTCCCTGCATGTACTGGACTCTTTAAAGTCATTTTGGCAATTCATTAGAATATGTACAAACTCTGAAATTATGATTATGAAAAAAAGAATTCTTACATGCAAAGGATTGCTGTTGTTCTTTCAACTATCAGACCAAAAAAAAGTAGGTTTTTTAACTGTGTGTGCGATTACAATAGATTGAAACCGATGAACCACCAAACAGCGTAGAATATTGGGCATCACACAACTGCATTTTAATGTTTTCCATTGAACTGGTATATGAATTTCAACTTTCCTGCCTAGGTTCCTGCTTTAGAATCCAATTATTGATTTCCTTATTAATTATTATAGAAATCATTAAAATTATGTCAATGTGGTAAGAAGTTTTAAAATCCTTGTTAAGCAAATGTACTAATGTTTAACATCAGTATGGTAACAACCGTTGTTTTAAGGACTGGAACTACAGCTCAAACGATTTTATTTGGTATAGCAAAGGAAAGAAAACCAGGCTAAAGCATAAAATCTGTGTGATGGCCAACTGTATTTAATAATGGCATAATCACAGATCTGGAAGTAGATGACGGAGCTCCTAACCCACTGGTTTTCAACATCTCTGAGACAGAATCACCTGAGGGGCCTTTAAAAAGATGCGTTTGCTCAGCCCAGCCCCAGAGGTGTGTTTTCCATTCATGTGAGTTAGAGCTTACGTGTCTCAAAAGCTCCCGGGGATTTTAAGATGCAGCCGGGATTACACACCCAGCCCTTCTTAGCAAATGAGGCTGAAACCACTGAGCTCAGTTCCAGCTGTAAGTCAGGGAAGCGGGGAGAGAGACACACCTGGCTCCTGGCCCAGGTTCGTCCCCCTCACCCTGCAATCTGCCACGTGGCTTGCTCACGACGCTTCAAAACGTAAACGACAGATTCTAAAGCAGAAACCAAGAACCCTTTCAATCATCGTCTTAGCAAGCCTGTGGAGTAGGACTGACATAAGAGACAGGCATTCAGATATTTTCTGATAAAGACCACAGCCTTTCAAGACCGCATGCATTTTCCATAGGTGCTTATGTTTGGTTCCCAAAGTCCCACAAGAGCACGAGGTGGAAGTGTCTGTGTTCTATGATTTATCCGGCAGCTTTCTTTGAATCAGGCAGCCTTTTTGATGTGCCTCAGCTGTGACATCAGCAGCTGTGGTCTTGACCAAGCAGGAAGCCACTGAGGCAGTAGCACAGCAGGGCACGGGCAGCAGGGCGGGTTGCTCTAAGGGGTGGCTGCATCCTGGGCTGGATTCACAACCGAAGATGGATGTGGAGGGATGAGATCGTGCATATTATTCCAGGGCTACGCCCTCCACAGCAAGCGTATCTTCTCTACCTTTTCTTTTCTTTTATTTCTTTTTCTTTCTTTTTTTAAATTTTTAATTAATTAATTTATTTTTTTGAGACAGAGTCTCACTCTTGTCGCCCAGGCTGGAATGCAATGGTGCTATCTTGGCTCACTGCAACCTCCACCTCCCGGGTTTAAGCGATTCTCTTGCCTCAGCCACCCGAGTAGCTGGGATTACAGGCACCCACCACCACGCCTGGCTAATTTTTTATTATTAGTAGAGACAAGGTTTCACTGTGTTGGCCAGGCTGGTCTTGAACTCCTGACCTCAGGTGATTCACCCGTCTTGGCCTCCCAAACTGCTGGGATTACAGGCATAAGCTACCACACCCAGCCCTCAGCTCTACCTTTTTCTAAATTACCTGTGTTCTTGGGGACAGCGCAAATTCTGAAATCTCAAGCCCACACAAGACCTCCAGTTGGGGCTGTGCCATTTTCTTTCCTATTTCTCTGTGCACTCCTCGTCTGCTGCCCTGGCCAGTCGCCTAGAAATAAGTGTACAAAAGGGCACTTCAAGAAAATGAAAGTGTGTTCATTTTAGTGACAGGAGAATCTCCGTACTCTGGAGAGCTTTGCTGTAACGTGAAATAAAATAGTAGAGAATTGTGGGGAGGGGAGCTACCTCTTCCCTACGTTTATTAATTAATTGGAGGGAAACTTGGTGAGCATTTGCAGGTGACTGGGTGGCATAGAGTAGATGACAAGTGAGGTTTGCCCGCAGTTCCTGCCATTGCCAAAATCTCCACCCAGCATGCCACCCCGAGGGCATTCCAAAGACAAGAATTTGCTAGAATGTGGCCAGGCACAGTGGCCCACACCTGTAGTCCCAGCACTTTGGGAGGCTGAGGTGGGAGGATTGCTTGAAGCCAGAAGTGCAAGACAGCCTGGGCAACATAATGAGACCTGGTCTCTATTTAAAAATCAGCCAAGCATGGTGGCACACATCTGCAGTTCCAACTGTTTGCAAGGCTGAAGCAGGAGCATCACTGCAGCCCAGGAGTTCGACGCTGCAGGGAACTGTGATTGTGCAATTGCACTTCAACCTGGGCAACAGAGCAAGACCTTATCTCCAAAAAAAAAAAAAAAAAAAAAGACTTGCTAGATTGTAAGAAAAGTCTAGTCCTGACATGGTTCATGTCACATTTAGGCACATCAAAAACTCCATGGACACAAAGCTTTGCAAGACTTCAGACTAAAATAACAAAATGTCATTATTTGGTAACATGCAGGAAAATAAACCATTTGTTCTATACACCACTTACGTGCTTTGAGATTTTTTCCAGTAGCCGCATGTGTTTTAGATTCCTTTGTTTAAGCTTGGCTTAATCTTGGTTCTTTTCCTGTCTGTTCTCCCAACCCCCACCCCCACCCTGCAGAAAAGGACAGGGGCGGCCCGACTGGGCGCTATTTGGGAGACTTACTGAACACAATGAAACAATTTTGTTCAAAGAGAAGTTTCTGGATTGGACAGAACTGAAGAGAGAGAATGAGAAGAACCCCAGGGAACTTGCCCAGCACAAGGTATTCCAGTGACCAAGTCTCAAACCTCAGGGCTTGGTTCGGGTCCCAACAAAAGTGGCCTTGATGTAAAATGATCAAATCAGGATAGTTCGTGTGGTCATCACCTCAGATGTATCATTTCTTTGTGGTGAGAACACTCAAATCTTCTCTTCTAACTCTTTTGAAATATGCAATACAGTATTGGAAAACAGTCACCCCACTGTGCAGGAGAAAACCAGAGCTCATTCCTCCTCTCTGGTTGTCATTTTGTAACCTTTGGCCAACATCTCTCTATCCTCCCTCTCCCATCTCCTTCCCACACCCCCTTCCCCATAAAACAGATGCATGTATCAACACATCAAATCATACCTATAATCATGTGTCAAGTAAAATACTTTTTTAATTAAAAAAAAAAACCATGGACACACACACACACACACACACACACACACACCCTTAAAGCTAAGAGGGCTTCCCAGGATTCACTGGTAGAACAGCAGACAGGCCTCCAATTCTAATCTGACTCCGGGGGGTGAAGAGTCTGGTTTGCACCTGTTCTCGGGCATCCATGTGCTGTTGTGGCAATGGGTGTTCAGACCTCCCAGAGTCTTTCTGGAAATGCAGCCTTTCCCTGACTGCAGTTAAACATCCGAGGATGAGATAGAGGATGGAAGCTGTATTTTTATGCTATCCCAGGAACAGCTGAAGCAGCGTTGAGTGTGACAAGGAATGACTGTGGAAACAGGCAACTGAACCGATGTCTTCATGTTCCCCTATAGGAAGACCCCAGGGCTGATGTCAAGCCGTACGATGTGACACAGATGGTGTCCATGCCCCAGACGACAGCAGGCACCATCCTGGACCGGGTGAACGTTGGCCATGGCTGTGGCCTGGTGGAAGGACATGACAGGAGGCAGTTTGAGATCACTAGCGTCTCCGTGGATGTCTGGCATATCCTAGAATTCGACTATAGCAGGCTCCCCAAACAGAGCATCGGGCAGTTCCACGAGGGGGATGCCTATGTGGTCAAGTGGAAGTTCATGGTGAGCACAGCAGGTTAGTGAATGCTCATGGTTTCTTCCAGCTGAAAGAGGTCGGCCTAGCAGCCCTGCAGGAGCCAGCTTCCCCGATGAGCCCTGTTGTGCTCTCTGCTGGGTGTGTGCAGTGGGGCACTGCAGTCATGTGCCTTTGAGAGCCACCTAGTAAACAACAGAGACGAAAAGAAGTAAGGCCGAATTCCTAACAACCTAGCATTGCCAAGGCCGCTGGTGTTCACCTGTAGAAATTGAACTTGCACATCAAGTCTTCTCGGCTCCCTCTCTCTCTCCCCTGCCCCTGTCCCCAGAGCTTTTCTGGGAAAGAGATGATTGGCCTCTCAATGATATTTCCCATGTGGCTGTGTGCTGCTTCAATTAAAGTCGTTAAGTACAGCATATCTTCGTGATTTAAAGCTGGAACCAAATGGGCTGTAACATTATAGTAAATACACGCACGGAAGGTTGATTTGAAAAGTGAAAGAGTCTGTTTCTCCTGAGACTGAGAGCACGGATGGTGCTTTGTGGGTCTGGTGTAGTAAGTGCAGAGTCTAAACTCTCCTCGGTTCCTGATGGTGACATACCGCATTGCAAAACACTGACCTGGATGCTCTGGAGAAATCACCCCTTTCCTTGCTAAGCAGGAGCCTTTCCCACCGCGCTCCTCACCCCTTCCCATTTAGCACGCAGGTCACAGGTCTGTGATTTCAACTCAGAAGAGAGTTTTTTCGCCTCTTTACAGCCCCCTTGCTCTGCAGGTGCACCTGCCCCCGGGGCCACAGGAAGCACAGGCAGCTGTTTGCTTCAGAAAACTGCAGGCTCAGAACCATGTGATTTCTTTCCTGGTTTATATAAAATGCATCTGTTCATCAACTGACACCATTTCCTGAGCACCTACTCTATGAGAGACACTTTTTGTAGGGACCAAGTAACTATTTCAGATCCTGTCTCCAAGACAGTTATCCATGATGTAAAGCAAGTGCAGGAACAGCCAGCAGGCGGGCCTCGCTGAGTACATGGCCGATGGGGTTGTGTGCTGTGCAGAGCCGGCTGTGGCCCAGAGGTCCCCCTGCCCCCTCAGGGCACGATACAGGAGGCTTTATCCTGCCTCTAGCTGAGTGCCTCCTGGGCTCCCTGAGACTTGTTCTGTTGTGATGCTAATTTCTCAGATGAGGAACAGGACTATAAGATCAGGGAACCTGCCTGAAGCCACACAGCTAGCAGGGAGCAGAGCCGGACACTCACACCCAGGCCTGCCTCTTTTCAAACCCAACTGTGCTGTTAACCCGCTCTGCA